CACCTGATTACATATCTGAGCTTATCAACATAAAGGATAAATAGCTCTTATTAACCGAGTGCGAGGTCCGTACCGTAAGTTATGGACCGAGTTTTTTCCACTGCCTTATGGCCCAAGCGCGTAGCGCGCGGGCCATAAAAAAGTGGAAAAAACGAGGAGCCATAACTTACGGTACGGACCGAGCAAACGAGGTTAATAAGATATTTATTATATGGCAAGGCATTGAGATCAAAAAGAGGCGAAGCAACAAAAAGTAAAGTTGACAGCGCATGTCAAACGAGAATTGCATTGGAAGGGCTTCCTGTACGTGCCAAAAGTCATGTAGTGTTTGAGTCGCTCAAAAGGCGAAGTTTTAGTTTTTACTTTGAAAGAATTTAGCTAAAGTTTAAAGTTTTCTGAAATACTAGTTAACAAAAGTGAGGCTTTATTTTGCAAAACATATAAATGCAAAGCAAAAAAGGCATCAAAAGAAGACTTCAAGAACTCAACATGAGATTGAGAAGAAAACTGTCGTACTTCAAAATTCAAGATATTCACAACCAAGATGAAAAATACTACAGCCTTCCGCTTGTTTTCCTGCCTTTTATTGAGAAAAAACTCAAAAACTGTCTCCAGAAATGAATGAGAAGCTTTGAAAAATTACAGCTGGCTGAACATGGATAGTTTTCGTCAATTTTCAACGTTTTGACTGTTTGAAGCAGGCCGCCATATGTACAATGGCTGAAGTCATGAAGAAGGCACACTTTCGACTCAATTAAAAAAGGTACTGCCAACTCTCCTGTCTAAAAACACATTCAATTTCAAGTGGGGGTGAAATATTACTGAAATATGGACATACTTCAAGAGCGGATGAGCCTAGAAAACTGCTTARAACGTTTACGAAAGAAACTATACTGGCTTCTTCACCCCATCGATTCAGATAAGTTCAAACTGGACGTTGTTAGCTCACTGAAATAACAAATTTACGTTAATTCTACGGTAAACGACACGCTTACAGCTTACTGGCAACCAAAATATCTAATTGGTCAGTCATAGTGTAATTTAAAAAGTACTTAGAGGGTGGTAGTGATGTTTAGAATGTGGTCAACATGACGGTTATCGAAATACGCTAAATTACTTTTTGGTACAAAAGTCGACAATTGTGAAACAAATTGATGTAGGTCATGTTTACGTTTTAGTCAAAAATACGGTCAGATCAACATAGATAAGCTTAAAATTATGATATTTTTACTCATTAATATCTGTTGTAAGTAACTGCAAATGGCCATTGAATTTGAAGTTCGGCCGTGCTAGATTTTTCCTTTCAAAGTAATAAAATATTCGAAGTTAGACATATTAATAGTACAATCAACTATTGCTTGCTCAACTGGGACAATTGTAATCTATATTAGATTTTAACACAAATTTATTTCATTGGAATTCTTCAGATGTAGTTATTAGTACTTGAAAAATAAAGTTCTTCGTGATAAGACGTATTCGTGGACAAGGAGACACCTGTTTCGAAGAGCTGGTTTAGAGGAGCGCTAAGACTAAGGATAAAAGCTTTAGTCAATGATGAAATGTTGTGATACGAAGGATAAATATCTTCTTTTTCTTTGGAAATCATTTTAATGTATCTCTGATCCTCGACCTACCCAAGTTCAAGTCTTTAGTTAAAGGGTATTCACCAAAAACTCGGCAAAGATATTGGAAGATTGTCTTTTAGTTTGTACTGAATAGGCTTCACATTTTTCTGCAAAATTTCAAAACTGACTTATTTGTTCTGATGTTTTTTAAAAATCTAAAGTTTGTTTTATTGAATTATTTTTGAGTGACATACTA